ATTTTCGAGAGTAATGGATCAAGGATTGGACTTAATGAGAATGGGAGGAAGAAGAGATCATCAAGAACAATTACCTCATCCTAATTTTCCTTATCAACACCCTTATGAATTCCCTTTTCAAGATTCATTTGATTTTCCTCCTTCAGTGGTCCAAGAAGAATGGGCATTTTTGAACAATTTTGAGCAAGAATATGGAACTCAACATCCATTTTTCTATGCTTGTAAGTTTATGGATGCACTAAAGATAGCAAAGGATGAGCATAAGTTCTTGTTTGTGTACTTTCACTCTCCACACCACCCTTTTACCCCTTCTTTCTGCAGTGAGACTTTGTGTTGTGATCTTGTGGTGCAGTTTCTTGATGCAAATTATGTTTGTTGGGGTGCACTTGCTGATAGAGGAGAGGGTTTGCAGATGGCTACAAGTCTAAGGGCTTCAAGTTTCCCTTTTTGTGCCCTTGTAGTTCCTGCTCCTGGAGATAGCATAGCTGTGCTGCAACAGGTTAACTAGAGTGTTATTTTCAATTTCAGTTCATTTTTTGTTGTATTGTCCTCCTATTTGTGTATAACTCCAAGACGGTAAGAGTTGTTGTCGTGTGACTCAGAGGTCATAGGTTCGAAATATAGAAACAAACCTTGTGAGGATATGTGTAATAGACCCCACATGGTCCAACCATTTCCCCAAATCCTATACATAGCGGGAGCTTAATGTATCTAACAACCAAAAATAAAACAGAAGAATAGAAATTTCCCCTGCTTCAGTATTGATGAAATGACTTAGAATTTAGATATCTATCTATAACAAGACTCAACTAGAATTTAGGCAAAGCGCACCAAGGGTGTGACCTAGTGGTCAATGAGTAGATTAGGTACTATGAGATGTTAGGTTCAATTTCCAAGACAATAAACTAGGTGATTTCTTTCTATCTATTTTAGCCTTGATTGACAAAGTTACCTAGTTGTTGTTGCTGGTGGGAGGCGTTAGGTATCTTGTGAAACTAGTCGAGATCTCCGTAAACTAGCCATGAACGCCACCATTATCAAAGAAAACATTTTTTGTGAAGTAGGTAATGTACTTTAGATGGTACTTACACTTTTTTCTCCTCACATACTTTGAATAGTTGGAAGGTCCAGTTTCTCCAGCTGAATTAGTGGAGATACTACAAAGAACAATGGAAGAACAAGGATTGGCTTTTGGCAGTGGAAGGGTCAGAGAACAAGAAAATTTAAGGGCGGATCGTCGACTAAGGGAAGAACAAGATGTAGCTTACATTGCATCTCTTCAGATTGATGAGGTCCATTTCTGTTTATTATATTACTAGCTCTACATGTCTTCTTATCGAGAGAAAACTCGATATCAAACCAACTTCCTTCACTTCTTTTCAGGAGAAAGAAAAACTCAAGAACATAATGCCCTCGCAGCGTAATTCAAAACCAGAACATGTTCCAAATAAATCAAATCAAGAGAAACCTAAACCGAATCCAACACAGATCCAATCCAGTAAGCAAAAAGAAGCTACTTCTACCATAGCAACTACGCAAAATCCGCCACTATCCCAATCTAGCAAGAAAAAAGATTCTATCTTTGCCAAAGTAACTATGCAAAATCCTAATCAATCCCATTCTAGTATGAAGAAAGAGTCCACCAATGCAACTGCAGGAAAAAATACTCAAATGACTCAGGTAATAGCACAGTACTCTCATCTCTTGGTGTTGCATATGAGTTATATATATGGGTAGCGTAAATTACATGATTGTTAACTTAGAATAAATGTCAAGTAACATGTCAGTGTATATAACTTAAAATCCGTGACATACTGATGATTGGTATACTCAACTTTCTTGATGAATTCGTGCAGATTGCAATTCGATTTCCAAATGGTGAGAGGAGGGAGCAGAGCTTCTCATCGACAGACAAGATTCAAGCAATATTTAGGTACGTCGATTCACTAGGATTGCCTGGAGTTGGAAATTACAGACTGATATCAAACTTTCCAAGGAAAGTGTATGGTGTGGATCAAATGGGAGTAACACTCAAAGATGCAGGCCTTCATCCCAAAGCAAGTCTCTTCTTAGAGCTTCTTTGAAGTTACAATTAATCGTCATAGAGTCGAAATATTTGGTATCATACTCTGTAGCAAAGCGTATATGACATTATACGTGCAAATTATACATTACTATCTTGATGTATGTATTGCAGCAGCCCTAAGATTTATGTAAGGATAAGTTTTTTTTTTTTTTTGGGTTTGGTGTTCGGAAGCTTACATTGGAGGGCCGACTAAACTTGGATCACGCACTATTCAGGGCTTGAACCCGAAACCTCTAATTAAGGGTGAAACACTGACCAGTGCACCACAATCCATGTTGGTATGTAAGGATAGGTTCAATGCTAAGAGCTATAAATGTTGGTATGTAAGGATAGGTTCAATGCTAAGAGCTATAATGATTTATCTGATACTCTATAGTTTAATACATATTTGTTTCGATAGTATTTCATTAATTTTCTTACGTAAATAATTTCAATGATAAAATCATTACTCATGCATTTCAGAGCTAAGCGAGAAACTCATGAAGCTTAATTTTAAATTTTTAATTATAGACCAATGTTGATTTAAATGATTTCTATCGCCAAAGAGCGTAGTGTAAGTGCAGTTAGATGTGTCAAATAGGCGGGATTGAAATTAAAGATATTAAAATGGTTTGAAACTAAAAATTGTTTGGGTCATGATACCACTATCACCGAAGGATGTAGTGCAGTTGGGGGTGTCAAATGAGCGGGGGTTAAAATTAAAGATATTAAAAGTATTGGTTTGAAATAGAAAACATGTTGGGTAATGATATGCAGGAGTTTACTTTGAGCTCAAATGAATAAGATCAAATGGGTTAAAAATTGAGTTAGGTCATGACCCGTTCAATTTGACTAGCTAAATTTCAATAATTTTAATACATTGTACTTTTATAACCATAATTTGAATTTCAAAAAAAAATAATTGCAAATTGATAGGTAAATCCTAGAAGATGCAAAAAGATAGTGATCCATACAATAATGGAAAGGGGTTTGATATACCCCTCAACTTTGTTATTTGGAGCTCATATACTTTTGTTATAAAAGTGACTTATATATGCCCTTACCGTTATACAAACGACTCACATATGCCTCTGCCATTACAAAATGACTTACATATACTCTTCATTTAACGGAAGTTAAAAAATTAGTTTTAAATTTATATTTGTTACTTCTAATTTTTAAAAAAAAATTATTTAGGGGTATATATGATTCTTCTATCAAAGTTCAAGGTATATTTTAAATTTTTTCATACATAAATTATTTTTTGACTTCTTTTATTATAATTATTTGAGTTTCTTATTCTATTTTTTTTCTTTCATTTCTTAGTTTTAAAAAGAATTAAACTATTTTTTCTGTGTATTGTACAATAAGTTTTACAAGAATATTAGTGAAACATAAATAAATTTGATTATCAAAATATAAATTAGTCATTGAAACAAAAAAAAAAGTCAAAAAAAATATGTTTGACGAGAATTAAATTTACTCATATGAAATTATATTTTTTAGAAAATAATAAAAATAATTTAGATTAAAATAATTTTTTTTCATTTCCATTAGAGGAAAAGAGTATATGTGAGTCATTTGTTTACAAGCAGAGGCATATATGAGACATTTTGATAACAAGGGGTATAGCTGAGGGTATATCAGACGTTTTTCCCTACAATTAATGTAGAATTAAATTACATCAATGCAAATCAATAATCTTAAAACATATTGGAATTAGAGATTAAATTAGATTCAATTAAAAATTCTTTTAAATTAATTAATATTTAAATAGATTAAAATTGAACACAGTTCTAATTATCTCGAGTTCAATCCATAAAATTTTGAATACATTGAACAATTTACCTACCTTTGAACTCATTTTGACAACCTAAAGAATGGTTTACTTAAAGAAACTACAGGAAGGTTTGTACCCTCTATCAATGTCTTAAAAATTCATATTCCATAAGGCTTAAAAGGCATCCATAAAAAAAAAATCACAAAAATTCTACAACAATAAGTGGAATTCACTTCACGAATTAAAATTAATATTAAAAAATATAACACTATCCAAAAAATATTAATTATAATAATATTAAGTATCATCAAATTTTAAGATAATTGAATAATCTTTTTTTTTATTCAGAATCAATTGCAAAGCGATTAAGGATATTTTACAAAAAGAAACTAAAATTTTGATTTTCAAATAAATATTTATTTAATTATTTTTTGTAAATCATATAGTATGAGCAGCTTGTTTTGACAAGACAAATCAAAGAATTTTGTGGCTCTAGTCATACTCTACCAGTAGATATTATTTAAGAGATATCTTATTTCATTTCTCAATTATGTTTCAGCTGTAAGTATTTTGCTATAGGTTTTTTCTTTCTTAGTGATATTATGAATATGTATTCTTATATTATTGTTCTGAAGCACCCTATAAAAATTTGGAAAATATTTTATTTGAGCTATCGATAATTCTTTTGTGAATGAAGTTTAATTTTAGGTTTGAAGAATATAAAAATTATATTTGTATATTATAGTTATAGTTAATATAATTACGCTCCTCAACAAACTTTATGACTATAAATTTGTATATCTCGATATGCATATACATAAAAAAAAATTATTTTTGAATCTATTTGTATATTTTGTTATATAAATGAGTTCTGCATTTGTATATTTTGATATACAAATAAGTCCTGCATTTACATATTTCGATTATATTTGAGTTTATTTATATATTTCAATATACAAAGGCAAAAAACATAAAATATTTACTCTGAATTATAACCTCATATTAACTAACACATTTTTGAGCTCCTGTCATCAAATTTGTGGACAATAAACACTATCTACGGAGAAAAATATACTCTTACCAAATAAAGGAAGCTCATAAATAATATTTTAGTATTTTATTTTTTTGGATCAATGAGTAATAGACTAGTGTATCATAATTCATAATTAAATACAAAAATCACATGTGAAAGATGGGTGAGCCAGAATAGGTGGCATCATACATATATAACTGTGTCTCTTTCTATCTATGTAGAAGAAGAAGAAGGGGAATTCAAAAGCGAAGTTGAGAAAATGTCATTCCAGTTGGTTCTTAGACCTCCATTACTAGGTCGTCATCTTGTCAAAGCTACACCGATTGTTGCCACTGGATATAGCAGATTACGTATTCGGAATTGCCTCAATATGGACCCTCACAAATCGCAAAAGGTGTAAGTAGTCTCCCAACCACTAACTTTGATACTTCAATTTATCGGGAATTTGTGTTTCCAGTAAAATCAAATATTATGTTTTGGAGTTGACCTATTATTAGGTTTTTGCAGTCGTTGAATAGAAAGGAGTGATGTGTTGGACTGCATAGATTTCTCTGTTTGTTCTTCAATTAACTATCTACTGAAAATTCGCTCGAGTGCCTGCAGGACAAATCTTTGACATCTTATTCTCAGATTCTAACTGAAGGGATTGATTTCTATGCAATGATTTTCAGTTTTCTATTGATATTTTTAGTGTGTGCTCTTGAACTATTTTATTTTTCATGAAATCTGTGGAAAATTGTTATGAAGTAATTTCAATCCAAAAGGTCATTCTGACTGTGTAATCAAACTTTGCGATTCCATGAATAATTATGGATTCTCCACAACTCAGTTCAAAAAGGAGACTATGTAACTCTGATCATGTTGTACTGAATTTGACTGGAATATGAGATAAACCCCCCCCCCCCCCCCTTTTTAAATAAAAATTCTTAGTTGAATACTAGACAATTTGTTAGTTAAATTCCATCTCATGAGACTCAGCATATATGCCCTTCTCACACAAACAATGCTGCGATAAAATCTGATGGTGCCACATTTGTACTTTGCAGTTAGTGTTGGATGTAAAGGAGAGACTTAAAAGGGAATATGCAGATCTCCCTGTTGGAAGAAATGGAAGAGACGATGAGGAGATGATTCTATGGTTCTTGAAGGATCGTAAATTCTCAGTTGATGATGCTGTTTCCAAGCTGCATAAAGCCATTGTAATTATGTTGTTTATGTTACTTGAATCATCACGATAATTTGACTGTCATACTCTGACTTTTTTATTTAAAGGAAAATAAAATGTAGCTTCTCTAATGTTGATTAGCACATCATCATATCTTCACCCATAAGGCATCAGCTATCTTCTTCTTTTTACTCTTCTCTGATTTATTTTCCTCCTTCCATCTGGTTTCTGAAGGTGGAGAGAATAGATTTATTCTTCCTCTGCCTTTCATTGACTTGTCCACACTGTGTCAAAAGAATTTCTCATGAAGTGGCTATATAAAACATGGGACACTGTATTGCTAAGAGCCTAGGATTACTACAAACATTTCATTTCCTCATGGTTATGAGAAGAATGGGAGTATTTTTCCTCCTTCCTGCCAGTAGACTTGTTTTGCTGTGACAATCCTTCATTTCAATTATCATGAAATTACTTAAGAGCTGCATCTGAGCTGAATATTTACAATGCTATAATAGTTACTGTAAGCTTCAAGAGTAAGAAGGGACACTTACAATGATGTATCTCCCAAACTTTCATATCAGAGATGGCGTCATGAATTTGGTGTATCAGACTTGTCAGAAGAGTCAGTTAAAAATAGTGCTGAAACTGGAAAAGCATATGTGCATGACAGTTTTGATGTCAATGGAAGACCAGTCTTGATAGTGGACGCATCAAAGCATTTTCCTCAGGTAACAATGTGACCCTGCTTATCTTAAAACTAGTTTAGTAACACCAGAAATGCTGTATCTTTACCATTTGCTTTTCATTCAGAGAACTAAACTTTGAACCCACCTCTATTTTGACTGATCAGAATTTCTTAGGTCCTACGTGCCTGATTTCATTGTTTAAGTAAAAGCTTGAAGAATTTTTTTAATTTTGTTAACTTGAGTGAGTGAAATTTGAAGTATTAATGATGTAGACAATGAAACATGCATTTGTACTTTCTCCTAGTTAATTCATGCATGAGTGGATTTTGCTATGATGGAACTTCTGAATTTGACCATTAGCTAGATCTGATTCTTTATATTTATTGAAGTACTTTTTCAGAATGCTTCCAATTGTACTAATTGGAAATATAAAACTTATCTAACTACTATAATTTCTTAAGGAGGATAAAGTGTTCATCGAAACTTGTGATTTTGGGTGGAAAAGAAATAGAATGTTTGGAACTAGAGATTTCTTATGAAACAAAATTTTTACCCTGTAGATCCTGTTTAGCTGTTCTAATCTATACACTAAAATTTGGTACCACAGAAGCAGGATCCCGATGAAGATGAGAAGTTATGTGTCTTTCTAATTGAGAAGGCATTGAGTAGACTTCCTGCTGGCAAACAAGATATACTTGGTATATTTGATCTGAGAGGGTTTGGAACAGAGAATGCAGATCTTAAGTTCCTTACTTTTTTGGTAATGTCCTTTGTAGTTGCTCTTTTACATATTTTGCATGGTTTATCTCTCCGTACCTTAGTTCAGGACGATTTTAAGTCGTAAGGTTTTCCACCTTCTATCTCTTTTTTCTTTTGTGGCTAAACTATGCTGATACAATACTTGTTTTATCACCTTTGTCAAGTAAAACTCAACTTTCATGATGCTGATACATCATGAAAAAGTATGCTTGAAAGTTCAGTGTGAGAAACTTAATGGTGTTCCTCATGGTATTTACTTGTATTTTTGTATGTAGCATTTAGCACTTTTCATCAGAATCTTGAACAGTTTAAAATTGCCTGCTGAGTTCCTTTTATTCATTCCAACACAGTTTGATGTATTCTACTACTATTATCCAAGACGAGTGAGTCAGGTTCTTTTTGTTGACGCTCCTTTTGTGTTCAAACCACTGTGGCAGCTTGTCAAACCCATGCTCAAGCAATACGCTTCATTGGTAAGAATTTCCATGCTATATCAGTTAAGGAGTTAAATGACTTCTCACGTGTATTGTTTTGGTTTGAGTTATAAATCTTATATCCAAAAGCCTGTCTTATATCCTCACTATATAGTAAACATAGTCCATTATGATTTTATTCGAAGAACTAGGCAAGTTCTTGAAGTTATTTCCCCTATGCATCAGCTCGTCATGGTTGCTATTTATGCCTGTGTTTATACAGACACACTGAGATAGTATAGTTACTGCCTGTAACCTCACTTGTTATGTCTGCTTTTAGCCATTATACAGTGAGCCTCTAGGTTAAAGCAAGCATGAAATATCCATATGATTTGGCGTCTTTGAAGCAATAGTCCTCAGTTTCTCATAACTTCCATTTCATGATTAGTTATTTATGTCATTCAAACCTTTTATGCTTTGCCATTAATAAATTGGACAACATAAGAAATGACTATATATATCTTGATTACGTAATCTTCATTTTATTTTTGACAGAACAAAAATAGTTCTATATTTTCAGCTGCTGATATCATATTGTCTTACACTTGTATTTGCAATTTCAAAGGTGAGATTTTGCTCAGCAAAAGAGGTCAGGGAGGAGTATTTTACAGAAGAGACACTCCCAGCTAGCTTTAGAAAATGAAGACAAAGAACACTGTTACACCAATGGTTTGATATACCGTAAAAATAGAAAAGACAGGTACTTGATACGTAGAAGCTTGTCCAAGATGACGATGACAAGCTCAATGTTGGAATAGGCTAGTGAAATCTTACTCTAGTCGTTCAAATTTACTTGAATTGAAGACAATCTTTCCTAAATCCCTGTGTTATAGTTACGATCATTTACAACATTAATGATGTATCCAAAAAAAAGCTCATACAATGTATACTTGGTTCGATTCATATATACAATAAAAGTCTCCTTGAAAGTTACTGTTATGAGGCTCCAGTCCCGATGCTCAACCATAAAGCTTGTCACCCTTTAATCCTGTTATGAACCAAGTTTGCTATTGAAGTTGACTAGGGTAGAAGCGCGAGAGTCCATTATTCACCGAGTTTTGAAGTTGTAAACACCGAATTTCTCAGTTTTCCCAAGGGAGAAGGACTACTGCAAATTGAATGACATTTTAAGGTAAGGTACTTGTTTATATCATTTGCTACTAAGCAAAACTATTCTCACTCTCTTAGAGTAATGCTGTTGTTTTTACTCATATGCTCACTTCAGAATGTCATATCACTACCTAATGGTTTTGAGAAATGAGAATACAGGCCATACAGCTCATTTTATGATGAAAAGGCCATCTGGAGATGGTGCTCCTTTATGAAAGAAAATGGCATACAATATTGTATGAGGAGTTATCTTCCAAAACTTCATTTCTCTTGTTTTAATACATAAAATAACATAACAAAAAAAGGTAGTTAAACAATCTTTTCAATCTTGTGGTTTTAAAACTAAAATACGTATAATAATGTATCAAAATGTGTTGATTTCAATTTTCAAATGAACAATGTCAAATGTTGAGATGGTTAGTAAAACATAAAAAAAATTACAGTAGAATAGTGATGAAATATAGAACTTTAGGGGCTAAATCATAAATTCACAAGTTGTGAGACCGAATGATTTTGCAATTAAATCTTAGTTAGGGGGGCCATAGTGAAGTTTCCTTGAAACAAGCAAACAAGTCATTAATATTATCATCAGTTCGTTACTGTTGAAAGGGTAAGCTCTGTTGTAAGGAAATGGAAAAGTCAAGGTTGAAGAATGGTTTAATAATCGTATTTGCAATAACTATTGCGTGTTCAGCGGAATTCTCCAAAGCAATTGAATCACCAGAGTACAGAATAGTGCACTCAGAATCAGATTTTGAAATCAGACATTACAGAGAGTCGGTATGGATGGTGGCACCCGTCAACGAAATATCCTTCGAAAAAGCAACCAGAAATGGTTTTCACAGGTACCCTTTTCCTCATTTTTTTTTCATTTGTTCACTGTTTCTTCTTATTCTTTACTAACCAGTGATTGGAGTTACCCATAGCTTTTCGAAATTAGAGTTGATGGCTTTTTTGCAGGTTTTAACTTATTGGTGATCCCCAATTTGATCTCTAATCTTATAGGCTTTTCCTAAGTCATCATTCGTTATACATAAGCTGCTTACTAGTTTGTAAGCGAGATTTGCATGTACCAAAACAGAATTATATAATCAAGAATACATTTCAATCTTAGGTCTAGCAACCTGTGGTGCGGCCTAGTGATCAATGTAGTCACTACCTTAAGAGAATATAGAGAGTAAATTCAGGAAATATTTTTGGTATAGAAAGTCAAATTCAGGATATTTCAGTTGCGAATTTCCTGTGTGATAGTCGCAGACACCTAGATGAGGGCTGTTGGAGGCAAAAACAGTAGGTGATTTCTTCCCATATGTTAAAATCTGGGTGGTTGGATAGAGTTACCCGAAATATATATTGGTGGGAGATAGCAGGTATCCGTGGGTGGAATAGTTGAGGTGTGTACAAGTTGGTCTTTGACACCGGCTCGAATGGGAGATAGCAGGTATCCGTGGAATTAATTGAGGTGTGTACAAGCTGGTCTTTGACACCAGCTCGAATGGGAGAGAGCAGGTGTTCATGGAATTAGTTAATGCGTGCACAAGATGGTCTGGACACTGGGTCCATGGGAGATAGCAGGTGTTCTTGGAATTAATTGAGGTAGGTACAAGCTGGTCCGGACACAACTGTCTCAAACACAGCAGTTATCAAACAAAGAAATCATGCTTAGATGTAATTTTCTCAACTCTTAGTATAAGAGGCAGTAGACAGAGTTATTTGTGGATTAAGCACCTTTAAAGACTACTAAAGTCTTTTAATGTTGATTTGACTCTTAGGTTCTCTTCGAACGCACTGTCAACTGTGTTCAATGTTCTTTCTTCTATTTCTCAAGCGATTGGGCTGCTACAGCTATTCTAGGTTATATATAACAGTAATGAATGGAAGTTTTGACAATTGGAGATTTAGCAAGGGTCTGTCAAGTCATATAGTTTTTTATGGGGTTGGGACTTTGATCATGGAGGTCTTTTGTGGCTATGGACAACTCTAGATGGTTGGTCATCATTAAGCACTGTGTGTCAGATGTGTCATTCTGAAGTCTGAACTAGTTGCTTAATGTTAAGTGTTAATAAGAAGCTGTTCCTGGCTTACCAGATACATAGACTTCTAGTAAATGCAAGCAGAGGTAGGTTTGTGGCTCTACTAGTGCTGTATGAAGATTCACAGATGTTTCTTTTAGTAGATTAAACTCAGTTTTGGTTGCAAATATGAACAAATACAGTTGAAGCCGTTGAACAGAACAATGCACAAGAAAAATTCCGTCTCTCTTAAATATAAATCAATCAGCTAAGACTCAATCTCAATTGGTATGAATCAGCCATATAAATCCTTTGTTTTGATTCGGCTTACGTATATCTAGGTGAATACGTAGGCACGAACATAGTATTCAGAGAATCTATCATAATTTCACTATTTTTATGTTGTCCAACTACCTATTGCAGCTACCCTACTTTGTCTGAATTTAGGACTGCTTTGGTATAAGCAGAGTTCATGTGTGGATAAATTGAAAGCTTACGTTTATATGTTCGCTCATTGTCGTACAGGTTGTTTCAGTTCATTCAAGGTGCAAATTTAAACTTTTCTCGTATCTATATGACAAAGCCAGTTTTGACTAGCATTGTCCCAGGAGCTGGTCCTCTTCACTCATCGGCATACTTTGTTAAGTTCTACTTGCCTGATAAGTTCCAGGCCGATCCACCTCTTCCCCTTCCGGAGCTAAACCTTCAACCTGATCCATGGACCAGCCATTGCATTGCTGTTAGGAAGTTTTCAGGATTTGCAAGAGACAGCAACATTGTTAAAGAAGCTGAGAAACTGGCTCTGAGCTTGAGTAGATCTCCATGGGCAAACTCCACTGCTTCTACAAGTGAATATGCTTACTCTATAGCGCAGTATAATTCTCCCTTCCGGATTATTGGGCGTGTCAATGAAGTGTGGGTGGATGTCACTGGATCTCGAGCGAATGGTTGCGAATCCAATCCAATTGCTGCATACTGATTATGAGTGTGAGCTTGAAGCTTCTTGGATCGTTGTTTTACATCTCCCGTTATAGAGACCAGAGAGACATTAATGGTTGTTTCTTATGTTCATATATTATCATGTTCGTGTTCTGCAAATTTGGGACTTCATGGAAGTGTGATAAATTCTGTAATTCCCTTGATAAAGAACTTTGACATTACCATGCGTGTTGTTCCTGTACGGCATTTAACTCCACGTTGTTGATAAAAAATATATAAATTTACTAAACAATATAATCATTTGACAAAAAATAAATACTAATGTTCACTAATGAGGGATAGTTTGTGGTAATGATGGCAGTGATGGTTGATGTCAGCTAATAATGATGATGGTTGATAGTGATTCTGATAGTAAAGTTAATTTATGTTAATTCTTCTTTAAATTTTTATACAAAGCTTACTCAAACACCATGGATTATAAATGGGTCGAAAGATAAAACAATCTATTCTAGAGATGCCATGAATTTGAAAAAATATCTTTTGTACTCAAATTTGAGGGGGGAAGCTAATTGAAACGAAGCTTATGGATCTTAAATATATCGAAAGGGATAAGGTAAAGGGGTTTGATTTGGTGTTTGTCAATGAACGATTTAGTGTTTTGGGTGGCTGAGGTAGTTGTTTGGTGGTTGTTCTTTATCGGGGATGGGTAAGTTGTTAGGAAAAAAGGGGATGACATTATGGAGGTACGTTTGTGGTGGTGGTGGTCGTTGGTTATTCTTCGCCAGAGAAGACAAAGAGAATTGTGATATAAATTCAAATGAATAATTTTTCTTGTTGAGATAGAAGTAGAAAGACTTTAGATTGGAAGAAGATATGATTATTAAAGAATTTTAATAATTAGTTAGGAATTAATTAGTGTAAAATAGAGTTAAAAAAATAATAAAGAAAATAAAATAAAAAATTAAAGAATTATAATTTCTAACGTGGCGCTGACGTGATGCTGGTGTGGCACCGAGTGTAACACATTACATACTGTGAGAGTGGTGTTATGCATTTCAAGGTGGTATTAAATTTACTTTCAAATAGTAAGAATGTGTAATATGTCATCATAATACTTGAAGTGTGAAACTGACTTTTCGATATAAGTTTGTGAGAAAATTTACGCCTTTTCCTAATAGAAAATATGACATCAATGACTATGATGGTAGGTGTGGGGTGACTCTTTTTGATAGCGTTTAGCAACGATAATGATCATTGTGATGACAAAAGTGATTAACGATAGTGAATAAAATAATGATGAAATTATTCATATACAAAAATATTATTGGATAACATTAAATTTTTGTTTAATATAATAATAATTAAAATTTATTCAGATTAAATAAATATTTAAATCTTAACATCCATAAATAATTGATCATATTCATAAAGTGCAAACAAATGAGAATATGAAAAGTACAAGTATTTTTAAAAAAAACTTATTTTCCATCCATAAATCACGCGATGAGGTGAAAGTTAGAATGACGTAATAAATAAAAAGATTTATAATAATAGAAAAAAGAAAGAGATTAACGTGAATCCGAAAATTTAACAGTGGACCCGTGTTAGTTTAATTAAAGACTTTACTCATCCTTTTGTTTTGGGGTTCAATCAAAAATCAATATTCCCCTTCTTCCTTATTCTCCCTTCTTCTCCACTTCCCCCTTTTCTCTCTCTGTTCTCCTCCTTCGATCTCTTTCCCCTTCAAATCCAAAAAAAGATTACTAACAAATTCACACACACTCATCATCGCCTCTCTAAAATACACAAAAACACTTATATTTACCTGTTGCAGATCGGAGCTTCTCGCAGATCCGATTCAATTCTTTTTTTTTCGTT